TATATATATATATATATATATATATATATATATATATATATATAAGTATATATATGTGTGTGTGTGTGTGTGTGTGTATTTTGTTTTTCCAGTTGGATCTACAGACCTTGTAGATCTTTGGCCGCCTGAACCAGCCTTTTCTACCTCTGCCTATCTTTTGCTACTAATTCCCAGTTTGCGGCATGAAGCTCAGCCGTATCTTCGTTTATCTTATCTATCCATCTGGTTTTTGGTCTCACACGTGATCTCTTGCCAACTACTCTGGCATTCATTGTTGTGTAAAGGCGTTCTGATGGATTGCTACCAGCTACATGCCCCGCCCATCTTTGCCTACTTGCCTTCATATCATGCGATATTGACTGATCCGTTTCTTTCAGCAGTTCTGTATTGTTCCTTCTCCTCCATGTTTATAAATTTTGATCAATGGTAATTCCTAAGTTTTTGACAGAGGAGATGAAGGAGATTGGTTGGTCATTAATAATCAAGGAAGGATGGGTGGAAATGGATCTAAGGAGAGAGTTGGAACCTTTAAGAATGGTCTGAGTTTTCATTGCGTTTAACTTTAATTTATTCAAGCTTGCCCAGGCACTTATCCTATCTAGGTCTTTCTGAATATTCGTAAACGCTTCTAATAACTCAGTGGGCGGAAAGGAAAAATAAATTTGGGAGTCATCAGCATATAGATGGTATGAACAATGGTGTATTGAACTAGGAAGGTCATTGATGTAAGAATTAAAAAGGATAGGAGAAATGCTTGAACCCTGGGCTACTCCATGAGACAAGAAGATAAGGGAGTGAGGAAAGAAGATAAGGGTTGATTCGGAATACTAACGGCTTGAGTCCTATCAGAAAGAAAGGATTGGAACAACACGATTGGAAAGAGATAGAGAGCTATTGGAAAAGGATAGAGATTTTAATTTAGTGAAGAGAAGAGAGAAAGAGAAAAAAAAACAAAAGGTAACGAAAAAAGTATGAATAATTTCTTAAAACCGAATAAATAAATGAAATTTTTAAATTAAACGGAAACTTCATGGATTATTTTTAAGTTCCGCCAACCTGTACTGTACTGTAAACTTGACAAACTCAAAATGTTCGTTCTGAAATTGTTTCAAAATTATTTGATCGTGATTTTGGTTGATAAAAAATGTGGTAATAGTCATTAATATCTTTAGTTTAATAACTTTAGACACGATAATAGGTTTGTGTAAATAATCGACGTTTTATTGAAGTCATATTGCCTTTGAATATAGCCATGATCGGCCTATAGTTTTCGAAAGGAAGTCACATTAAGTAAGAAGTGGCTAAGAATAGACCTGTAGGACGAAGAGGTGGATAGGATGGTAGGGAAGCGATAAATAAAGAGTTAACGATATTGAGAGGCCCAATGAGCTCGCTAAGTGGGTAATTGTACCCGCATTAATATTAACATAACTTACATGAGCACCGGGTGCCTGCTCTCTGAGGGAGACCACCCACTGCTCACCGTCAGTTTGTTGCCTTCGGTCCATCTCAAAGTCAACTAACGAGTTCCATATATTTTGATCAGGCAATTTTACAAATATCTTATAATATTCTCATATCTCTTTGGATGATAAGGCAACCATTGTATATCAATTTTCATAAATTTCATTTTTTTTTTTAGGATTAACTATTGTCCCTCTAATATTATATGTCCTAATCTGAAGTACAGGATTTTTCTTCTATAATTTCAAATCTGCGAATAAGCAGAAAATCCACAAATTCTATTGGTAATGTTAAAATTACTACAGATATACTAAAGCTAGAAACAAATATGAAAACTTATTTATCAACTTAGTGATTGAAATAATTAAATTTACGACACAAAATTTCTGCAACAAATTAAAACTTTCTAACGTCTTAAGTTCATACTTAAAAATAAAAAACAAATGTTTTTAAGATAGATAACATCTCTCCACTCCTTAATATAATATTTTTTTTAAGGAATAGTGCAGTCAGCAATTACTCTCTATGTTGTAGTAATATTTATACGAATAAACCTTAATATGAGTACATGTTTGCGATAAGGCAGCTATAATTATTGTCTTAATTTGTAATTATTATTTTAATTTTGCTAATTTTATTTAACTGTATACATCGCGTGAATGTGTTCATAACTATAATTATTGTCAACGTGACAGATTATTATATTTCTAAATAAATAAATTTTAAAAAACTCTAATTACTGAATTTGTTACATATAACAGCTTTTATTAACATTTTTAAGTGAAACAGAAAAATTTGGAAAAAAATGGAAAACATCTGAACTAGGAAAACTGAAAAAACTAGGAAATTTATGGAGAAGCGCTGCATAGTTTGCGTATATATATATATACATATACAGGGTATCCCGTAAGTAGAGAGAAATATTTCAAAAGTCGACTTTATATAAATAATTGCCTAATCCCCAGCAGAAAAGTGGAAAATTTAAAATTTGTGTTTCTTTATAAGAGTCACGTTTTTTGGTCAATAGGAAGCAAATACTAAAAAAATATTTGATTTAAGTAATTAAACATTGCTCCACAGTAAACTAGATAAAATTTACTTTAAACGATTGTAGAGTTTGTCATTTTTAAACTATTTAAAGAGGATTAATGAGCGTACAAACTAAGCTAACTTCCAAACTAAGCTAACTTCCAAACTAAGCTAACTTCCAAACTAAGCTAACTTCCAAACTTAGCTAACTTCCAAACTAAGCTAACTTCCAAACTAAGCTAACTTCCAAACTAAGCTAACTTCCAAACTAAGCTAACTTCCAAACTAAGCTAACTTCCAAACTTAGCTAACTTCCAAACTAAGCTAACTTCCAAACTAAGCTAACTTCCAAACTAAGCTAACTTCCAAACTAAGCTAACTTCCAAACTAAGCTAACTTCCAAACTAAGCTAACTTCCAAACTAAGCTAACTTCCAAACTAAGCTAACTTCCAAACTTAGCTAACTTCCAAACTAAGCTAACTTCCAAACTAAGCTAACTTCCAAACTAAGCTAACTTCCAAACTAAGCTAACTTCCAAACTAAGCTAACTTCCAAACTAAGCTAACTTCCAAACTAAGCTAACTTCCAAACTAAGCTAACTTCCAAACTAAGCTAACTTCCAAACTAAGCTAACTTCCATTTAAAACTAGCTCAAGTCCTTTCGTTAAGTGAAATGGCTGAAAGTAGCTGCTAGTCTACAGCTGGAGATGTAACACTAACCATCAACTTACCATCCCAGATCATGCATGGATGGCAGTTACTTTATGCTGGGATTTCAGACCGAAATTTTGAATTGAAGTATGCTCGATTGAAAAAATCTGAGTTGGATTATAAAAAATGGATTAATTTTGATTTTCTGATATGTTGTATTTATATCTTTGCTGAAAAATCCAGGTTTTCCAACTCTCTTCATTTGTTCAATTTCTGATATCTTGAAAAAGTACTTTATTTTTTCCTCAGGAACTTGCTTTCGTTGCATTCCAAGCCAAAATATGGAGTTACTAAATTTAAAGAGCATTCAATTTTCTGCGTTTAAGATCCGTGAACTGAAGGATTATCGGCGAATCTGTGGAAACCGCGAAAATTTTAGAAAACTGTTTTATCACGTCATGATTGTCAGGAAGACGGGCCAATCGAATGGATAAAAGAATGACGTAATAGTAAGAAAAATTTGTATGAATAAAAGAAAGACGTAATAGCAAAAAAAATTGAATGGATAAAAGAATGACGTAATAGTAAGAAAAATTTGAATGAATAAAAAAAAAGACGTAACAGTAACAAAAATTTAAATGGATAAAAGAAAGACGTAATAGTAAGAAAAATTTGAATGAATAAAAAAAAAGACGTAACAGTAACAAAAATTTAAATGGATAAAAGAAAGACGTAATAGTAAGAAAAATTTGAATGAATAAAAAAAAAGACGTAACAGTAACAACAATTTAAATGGATTTCACATTGGTACCATCAATTAAAAAAAAATGTGGTCTACGTAAAAATAATTCTTATTATTTTGCCTCTCCTTTAAATTGTATGATTTCTAGTTAGGTAATTGTCCAATGGGATGAGCAATATCTAACATGTTGGAAAATTCGGTGATGCGGAGATACTGAGATTCGGGGCCGTTAAAATCTGCAATTTGTCAAAAAACTCGGGTGTCAGAGGTTCCACCGTAAAAACTATTGTTAAGAGCAAAAAAACAAAATGTACTATCGTGTAGAGGTATATAAATAATGTAGGGGATGCAGAGATGTTTGACATCTAGAGGAATGTTCTTCCTTTAAGGTTCGTACGACCTGGTATGGTGAGTGTGAGTCATGGATAAAATGGGTTAATTTTGAAGTTTAAATTTAAATTATACTTAAATTAAAAGATCAAGATTATAATTTCCCGTTAATGTAGAATGATTGTATATCGTGGCCGATTATTAATAAGGTGTTTTAAGGGGAATAGGTAGATTGAAAAGAATTTAGGAGATTAGATGAGTGTGAGAAAATTCGCCAATGAACTAATCCTAAATAGGAGGAATAGAAATGGTTCTCATTTCAGAAAATACTTATCGAAAGGAACTTCGTTCTGGAAAGAATTTGATTAATTAAGTAGCCAGACTAGAAACCGAGCGACACACACAAGGCCAGCTGTTTGAAGAAATATCTTGGCTCAATTTGATCTTATTCGGTATAATAAAGGGAAGACAGGGAGCGAACCCACACTGCAGTTGATAGCTCTGTTCCATGCTTCTATTAGATGGATGCCTATCCCTCTATACTTATTTTATATAAAATAGTGACCCTACGTCACAGTGACATCAATGCCACGGGCTCGCTAAGATTGATAGCGCACTTCCATCGAAGATTGTTTCTTGTTGGACACGGCAATGACAACCAGGCAGCAGATGAAAAGGATAACCAACAGGCGATAAATCATGCGGTTAATGTGCAGTGGTGGATGCCATCGCACGTCTGAAAACACGTGCCATAGTTGTAAACACCTTCATCATCAATTCCGGCTAGGACGTCACGATTGACGGATCGGCGAGTGTCGTTTCATCATTAGAGCTGCAATAGCCTTCTGGGAAACGAGCGCGGGAGAAGAGACATCGACGAGGTAGGTTTAAGAACGCCTTGGGATGTAGTATTGTTGATTGTTGAGACGAAAATCCTGCAATAACTAAGTAATCAAACAATGCCTACCGTTCCATATTTTACCTAGGATGTTCTACAGTCAGGGTTTTCATGCGTTCATGATAAGGGATTAAAATTAAAGATTATATTTCTGATTACAATCGAGTATTAAATTGATTAAAGAAAAACTACTTATTTTTCTTGTGTAGGTTGTGACTGAACTTGAAATATACAGAGTTTTTAATTTTGTATGGATTGAAAATTTAATAAATTATTTTTTGCAGTACTGCATGTACTATTGTTGACCATACTTGTAGTATGGAAATTTGAAAAGAATGCCTGAAGGAAGACTACCCAAAGAAGTCCACTTATGGAAAACTAGGGAAAGAAGAAGACGAGGAAGACCTGGGATAACGAAGTGGTGGAATCCATGATGGGCATTATAGAAAGAAGTCATCCAAGCACTGTAGGTTAATGAAACCCACTATTAATGGAAACACCTAACAAAACAATATATATATATATATATATATATATATATATATATATATATATATATATATATATTGTAGTTAATAAATTGTTTCAGAAGGAGTTGGACAGGGGGGGGGGGCGGTCAAATAGATACTAATTTAAAAAAAAATAATATTTTTAATTATTTCCTCGAAGTTTCGACCCACCTTGCAGGTCTTCATCAGGAAGAAGTTGATGTTGATCATCCTTGTTGAAGTCCTCCCGTTGAATGAAATGTTCGGTAGCTCCTAGTCTATCGGCGGAACTAGTCTTCTAATTACAGTGGCAAGAAACTTTGCGTCGGACCAACAATTTTAGGCGATATAGAGAAAGTTTGAACAACAGCTGTTGCAATTTCTTAAAACGAAAACATCATATTTTATTAATCGATCTACATAAAAGAAGCATTCCTGTACATTACAGCATTTACTACTTACTAGGCATTGTTGTATACTATGGATAATAATATGTAAATAAAACTATCAACGCTATTTCAATCCATGAGTAGATTGCAATTATTGAAAAATATCGTACGATTATTTCATATCCGCAAAATTAATATCTCCTTTCGCTCTTACAATCTTTAAAACCCGGTTTGGTAGTCACTACCCCGAAAAGGATATCGCTAATCCTTTATGTAAATATTCTCCAATCAACTCTCAAATCAATATTAATATTAGCTCCAGTTTATCATCAATCCTCTTGCTTATTGAATTTTAAACTTAGCAAAAGGATAACGATTTCGATTGGGTGGTCCCAATTAGTTTAAGGCTGAAAAATTCGTTCTCTTGCCTGAATTTTTTATATATATATAATTACCAAGTTGTTATTTAGGAAATGTTTCTGCCACTAATGGTTGTTAATTGTAAACAAGAAAATAATAACTAGAAGTTCTGTTCTTGTAAACACCGTTCAATCCTTTGTTCGTTTTAGAAGCACCTCCATTCCCATGAAATTTAGTGCTGACTTCAATATAGTGATTTCTGTCCCATCCAACTGCTAACCGTTGCTTAGAAAGCATTTACTAAATGCCTAAATGACATCCTATACGAAAAGGATTTTGTTTAGGCAGTTTAGAAATGTAAATGCAACGCTCATTAAGCATCGGAAATAATATAAGTGGAAAATATTGCATCGTCGTGGATATTTTTCAATATTACAAAATTCGAAATAAAATATTTGGTAGCTGGGAAATCTTATGAAAAGTAGACTACATGCAACAGAGAATTGTAAATATTTTACAGGCCGTTAAATTATTATTTTGTCGGTAAAAATATTACAATTTCAATATTTTCGAGTGAAACACGTGTGTTTAACCAGTTAATAAATTTGTGTGTAGTTATGAAGTTCTATAAATATAATATATAAATAACATATAACATATAAATTTAATTATTATTATTATTATAAGTGTGAACGTGATCTTCCTGACTAAAACCAATGCCCATCTGACAGAATGTTGTAATCTTTCTACTCTTGACTATCTCTAATTATTTTTAGTTCATGAAATATGATTCTAATTTATGATGTAGATTTATATTTTCCAATATGCCGTCCTTTATAAATATTATAATAGAAATAATTTTAAGTGTTGGGCTATTACAAAGTTTTTGAAGTGCATTTTTAACGAAGCTAAACCTTAATCCTTACCGCTAATCTGTAACAACAAAAACTCTATATATTATTTCGACGGAAGGCAATAAAAACTTATGTATCCATCTATTTTGTAAACCACATAACTCCAGTTTTTGAACTACATATATATCCATATACAGGTTTGAATGTTCATTTAACCTATTAAAGTACACTTGCTTATTTAATCTGTTACACCATTAGTAACTAAGCTGTTATTTTTCCATTGGAAAGTTTAATAAAATGAAATAACAAACTGTTCATTGTCTACCATCGATGGTCAAAAGTTGTCAGGCTCCTAATTAACTCTGTTCTCCTAATTAACTCTGAATAAAATAATTTCAAGCAATGGGCAAATCAAAAACGATGCCTTTGCAAATCTGAAAGTGTAATTGTTTTTTTAATTTAGTGGATCGAATTGTTTGATATTGAAACTCACTTGATCTTTTGTTTACCAATCTCTAACTTTCTTTCAAATTTGGGCTAATTCGAACGAGCGGTTATTGAGAAATATGCGTATCAAGGTTTGCTCAATTTCAAGGAAGAAAGTTGTGAATGGAATTCAATCAACATGGCACGATATCCTTGTTTTAAGGAAGAAAGTTGTGAATGGAATTCAATCAACATGGCACGATGTCCTTGTTTTAAGGAAGAAAATTGTGAATGGAATGCAATCAACATGGCACGATATCCTTGTTTTAAGGAAGAAAGTTGTGAATGGAATTCAATCAACATGGCACGATATCCTTGTTTTAAGGAAGAAAGTTGTGAATGGAATGCAATCAATATGGCACGATATCCTTGTTTTAAGGAAGAAAGTTGTGAATGGAATGCAATCAACATGGCACGATATCCTTGTTTTACCAATTCCAAAATAGGATAAGTTTGAGCCAAATTGAACATTCTTCAATTGAAACATCGTTTCTGAAAAATGGGCATATTAAAAAAAATACATTTTCACGTGGTTAACCGAATTTGATGAAATTGAAATGGGGCCATCTAGGCATTAGCCATAGGTGATATGGAACCATTTAGGCACTAGCCATACATGATATGCCCGTCATATCTATTTGACTACAGGCAGAGAGGCACTAGATCACCTTTCTTTTCACTAAATAGGCTTTAATCAACATTTTCTTTCAATGATCCATTCAAAAGAACATCTAGAAACGATATTTCATTGTTATTATGCAATAAGTTCAAATGGGATCTTGCTTCCTTGGGCGGTCTCTTTCATCTTGCACTGCGTTTCTTTTCACTTTTCGGAATAGTTGGCTGCCTTCTCTTTCTCTGTATATCTCAGCCTATTGCTCTCCAGCTGTCCAACTGCAGGAGAGGAGAAATCTATGTCTATTTGTAAATGCATATCTATTTGAATCACTCGAAAATAGCCATTCACTTAAGATTTCATTGACTTAAAAAAATAAAAATTAAAAAAAAAATTGAAATAAAATTTTGGGTCACTATTGCCCCTGTCTTCTTCTATTTACATTGTGTGTTTAATTGCCTTGGAATGATCTATGCCACTTTGGTCTTTGGCCTGATTCCATCGTTTGCTACCCAGATCCAAGCAGATCCAATTTTGAATTATTATTTATTATATATATATATATATATATATATATATATATATATATATATATATATATATATATATATATATATACATAGGATCTGGCTAGAGGAGGAAATGCCGACTGAGTGGTCTTCGGGACTAGCGAATTTTTTTTTTTTTAAAAGGGACAAGACGTCATGCCACGGTTACAGAGGTATTCCGTTATTAAACGTCGCCTACAAAATATTGTCGACCCTTCTACAGGAGCACGATTGACCAGATGTGTGTTAACAGAGAAGTGCTGGAAAAACAATATAAGCAAACCATAAATGTACATTTGCTCTTCATTGACTTCAAGTAAACCTTCGATCGTGTTAATAGATTTAAGTTCACTTGGACCTTAAAAAAACTCGATATTTCCTTTAAATTAAATAATTAAATTAAAATTACTCTGTTCCATTCCAGAGGTATGTAATTATTGCGAAAATATTAATTTAGTTTCTGAAGTTTTCTAAAAAAAAAATCGGTTTGCTAAGACAGAAATTGGGTGGGACATTCTCCTAGCACGTGTTTCACTGTTTGTGGTACGTTATTGCATTTTTCACACGTGGGCGCTTCGAGTCCTCTAAGAAGGTAGCCATGTGTAAACTGGCAGTGTTCTTAATAATTAATATTTTTTTTAAAAGAAACAGTTATTGAAGGATTTTAAATAAGTTAGGTTAATTAAATGAGTACATCTGGGAGAGCCATTTGGAACAAATTTACAATCATGGATGTCATGAATTCCAGCTTCCGTACAGCCATGTCCTCGGGGGCCCGCCCACCAATGCTCTGGTGTTTTTACTAACCTAAGATATGCTAAACCAGATAATCCTTCATCCAATTAGTCGGGATTAGAGCAGTAAGTATCCAATGTGAGACTTTTAGCTTTTTCGGCCTGTGATAGTGGACCGAAAACAGTAAGCTGTAATATCCTTATTAATAATCCATATTATATGTATTATATGTATTATATGTATTATATATATATATATATATATATATATATATATATATATATATATATATATATATATATATAATAAGCAATAAGCCGTTGAGCCAGGATGAGGGTAGCAAACGATGGAACGCAGGCCAGTGGCTGAAGTGCCATAGTCGACCTTTCAATCAATTCAACATAAAAAGTAAATATCCTTAAATTTAATTAAAAATAAATATTTTTATTTAAATTTATGTTTTCAAGTCATTCAAATGTTAAGGGAATGGCTATTTTCGAGTGATTCAAATAAGACAAATAGGTTTCCTATCTCATTCGATACTGAAATATTTTGAAATCTCAAATCAAGGATGTTAAAATGGCCTGATAAAACCAGTTAGAATGCATCTATATTTCGCCAAAGAGCACGTTGGAATCCAGAGATCAAATGTAATTAACTGCATGCAAACAGCCGGAAAGCAATAGACCGAGGTACACAGAGATAGAGGAGACGGCCAACTATTCCGAAGAGGGAAAAGAAGCGCACTGCGACGAGATGGGGCCGCCGAGGAAGGAAAGGAAGATAGGTCCCTATTGGACTTCTTCTAGATGTTCATTTCATTCGAAATCTCAATTGTTCATTGAGAAATAATGTTTTTTAAAGCCTATTTACTGAGAATAAAGTTGCTCTAAACAAGCCAATGATATAAAATAAACACTGCAAGTAATTTTACTAACCATGTCAAGGTAGATAAATAGTAAACACAGAGCTGTTGGGATCTCCTAGAGTCCTGCATTTCCTTCCATGAGTGGAAAGGTTTGGCTCGAACCTGATTGAATGAATGTTGTATCAAAGTATGGTTGTATTTAAGTTGTTATTTTGATTGGTTTAGTTTATTTTGTTTATATTCATTTACTTTTAGAATTATTATTTTTCTTTTTAGTTTATTTTTATTTATTGTATATACATTATGAATATGCTGTCTGAACACTTATGAAATGTCCTTAATTGAAACAGATTATAATATTTCTCAATAAATACGTCTTTAAAAATGTTCAACATGAGCCTAGTAACAAAACGTAGGTTCGTTTGACAAGGTTCTAACTGACATTTTTGGGCTAAAGGAGATTATTGGTGTTTATGACTCACCTTTTTCTATTCCACATGTGATGCTAACTAATAGGGTGTATAAAAAAAAAAATGACCGTTTTCCAACCAAATATTTGTATTATTATATCTTTGATATAAAATACAATTAATACTCAAAGTATAGTCCGTTGTTATCTACCCTCATTGGCCATCTTTTAGCCAATTGCTCGATCCCACTCTGATACCATCCTTTAGGATGGCTGTAAAAGAACTCTTGGACCGCAATTTCAACTTCTGCAAAATTATCAAATGTTTTCCCTTGAAGGAAATGGGCCATGGATCTAAATAAGTAGTGATCCGATGGCGCGAGGTCTGCACTGTATGGTGGTGAGGCAGGAGTTCGAGCCCATGAAGTTCTTTTAACTTTCCTTTGGTTCGACAGGAAGTGTGAGGACGAGCAATATCATGTTGGAATAAAATTCCTTTCCATCGATCAAAGCAGTACAACGCTTTGACAACTTCGCGTACAATGTTTCCAGTTGTTCGCAGTAGAGTTTAAAATTCATAGAGCATCCATCAGAAACGAATTCGTGATGAATAACACCTTCAAGATTCCAAAAAACGCAAAACACGGATTTTTTTTTCAAACTGCATTGCCCTTGCAGTAACCAACCGGAAAAACAGTTTGACTGCGATCTAGGCATTGCTCTCGTGTATTCGGATTACGCAAGTAAACCCGCTTTTCATCACAGGTGACAATCTTCCGGTAAAATCTCATATCAAAAGGGGTTCTCAATACATTTTCACTAATTTCCAGTAATGCCTTAAAATTACTAGGATTTCGTAGGATACTGTCATGTTCTACTTTGAAACAAATAGCTAAACTGAGACTTTTTTTGATGAAGTCGAATGGGATTACACAAGCTTAGAGAATGCTATAAAGGGATTATTAAGTATTGGTAAGTATTAAATATGATTAAAATGTTTACAGTCCTTTGAAATCTCGAGTTTGATACTCTCTATCATTTCTTTTTTCATTTTTATACACCCTATTCTTTCTGTGACAAGGTTCTAACTGCATGAAATTTTTTATTTCGTTTTGTTTGACAAGGTTGTCTCTGGGTTTTCGGTGAAAATTTATAGAGAAGTTCTAACAATTTTGGGGTGATAATTAACATGGAGTATGGATAGAACTATAAAATTTCATCTGCCGATTGCTTCCAAAAGGAGCAATCAAACAAACAAACATTAAACAAATAAAAAATAAATATTGCACCTTGACATAAAAATCCATCGCGTCTAAATTGCATGTAGCAATCTCCAAATAAGAATAACTTAGTAGAATAGACACCCATAACAAGGAAAGTCACATGTACCTTGATTACCGATTTCAAGCCATCGGAAGATTACCGATTTTGAGCGAAATAAGTGACCTAAATTAATTTTTTTAATTAAATTAGGTTTTTTTTAGGAAATTCGTTTCCTAGCTGAAGGGCCATTTATAGTAATTTTCCCCAGTTTTTGGCCGAAATCGGCATTCGTTGATGTGATATTCGACCATATCACTTAACTATCATATTAAGTTTAGATGCACACACAATTTAGAGTTGACATCCCGCCGGCCGCCACTCCTACAATTATCACTGTAAAAAATTAAAGCAAGAATTAGCCACCTTCAGATCCCAATCATTCAACTCCTACCTCACCACACTCTCTGCTCATGATAATTCACTTTGGAATATCACAAAAAAAATTCTCAAATCCCATCATATTTCCCACCCCTTCGACGAGGTGATTGCTCCTGGGCAGCTTCTGATGAAGATAAGCCGAAGAGTTTTCGAAACACCTTTCCTACACTTTCACTCCTCATCCAGAATCCCATCCCACCCACACAGTAAAAGTAGAAGAATTCATCTCTGCACCTATCCCACTCTTCTTACCACCTAAAGCTGTTAAACACTCTGAGGTCAAATACCCTCTACGCAAAATCACTCCACGTAAATCTCCTGGATATGACCTTCTAACCCACAGACAACCCTGACAACTAGCATCCAAAGCCATCATATTTCTCACATATATTATATATATATATATATATATATATATATATATATATACAATTACACCCTACGAAATACCCATTTCCCTCTGTTATGGAAACATTCCACCATCGTCCTTTTCTTGAAACCAGCCAACCTTCCAACAATACAGCATCCTATGGACCAATTAGCTTACTTCCAATCCTCTCAACAATTTTTGAAAAGATCCTACTGAAAAGAATTCTACCTATAATTGAATCTTATAACCTTCCTAAACGTTCCACAGTCCAACAAGGACTCCGAGTTGTTGATCATGTATCCTCAACCCTAGAAAGCAAGCAGTATTGCTAGGATTCATTTTTGGACGGAGCGCAAGCTTTTGACAGGGTATGGCACGCTCGATTCCTCTTCGAACTTAAATTTCACCTACCACAGTCCTTATACCTAGTACTCCGATCCTATCTCTCCGACCGCTCCTTTCGAGTTTGCTGTGCTAGAGAATTCTCTCACTGTTACTCAATAGAGGCTGGTGTTCCTCAAGGCAGCGTCTTGGGTTCCATCCTTTACATTCTCTTTACCGCTGATATCCCTGTCCACCCCGATACCCTTCTGGCAACTTTCGCTGATGACACTACTATCCTATCTTCCAACTCAAATCCAGAAACGGCGTCCGCAAACCTACAAACGCACCTCTCCCTGATTGAACACTGGTGTAAGAAATCAAGGTAAACGAATCTAAATGTAAACACATTACCGTCACCCTTCGTCGTAATTTCTGTCCACCAGTTTATTTGAAGTCCATTCAATTCCTTTCTCTGGTATCTTGGCTTTCTCTTGGAGAGACTACTAACGTAGAATCCATATACTAGACTTAAAAGACAGAAACTTAATAGACGATATGGCCATTAATAGACTTACTATCATTATCATTACAACACTAAAGTACACAAGGTCATTTATCATTCATTTAAAATTATGGCAATCTGCACGAATACTCCTATTATAACTATATCATTTTTAAATGTAATTATTATTATTAGGGCAGAGAATTAACCAACTTAATAATATTGTATCATTATTTTAATACTTTACGATCAGAAGGCAACCCTTGAAACTTTTCTATTAGAGGAGAGGAAAGCGTCCAGCTTGGACTAGGTATCAGACATTTAAGTCGTCTGAGATAATTTTATCCTTCAGGATCTCAACAAAATTCCATATACTTAACAAAAATTGCGATTAAATTACTTCAATAATCGATATTTTGAATATTGTAATAGAATGCTTCTTGAATATGCTTGTGCCACTGTAACTCTGTAATCTGCTTTGCGCTTTGACATGCCGAGAAGACCGAAACCCTAGCGGTTCACCTGGACCAGGTACACCTCACTCCAGATAAACAAACTGACAGGACAATATGTCGACCGTGGGCAACAAAGGGTCCCCAGAATGTAGCCACGGTACTCAGGTAGGCTCGGTACACACCCTGTTCCTCAGTGAGTGGTGAGTGGCCTCCAGTTGTTACTCCTGTCCCCTGCACCCCTGCACTGGAAGTGTCCAACAGGTGAGTCCTTTCTTAGTCTATACTGTCTATTTGTCTATTGCATTGCAAACATATTAAGAAAACCTAACAAAATAATATTTTGTAAAGAAAGTATGGTCGTCGATGAAATTGTTTTATTATTATTCTTAATTGAGGTTTTTTTTTCAAAGTCTTGTCATCGGTGTCCCCCATTGAAAGAATCCCTTATTTCCTTTAATTTATTAACTTTTTTGAAAGGGTTAGTTCAGTACTTTTAAAGACTCACAAAATTTCAAGAAAATTTTCCAGGACCGTCTCAGCAGCTTTTAAATCGTAACTTCTGGATATATCATAATAGACTTAGGAATTCTATTTCTTTTGGTTCAAATGAAACCTGCCAATTTTAGTTCACTCAATGCCGACAGATTAAAAAAAAAACATTTTATTTTTATTTTCATAAATTAAGCTCGTTCACCAAGTAAATTAGTGTAGCTTCTTCTCCATTTGTATTTGGTACATACAAAAATATGCATGTAGGCATATAAATCTCTGAGGTTACAATTACATCTGACACTGGATAGAATCATCTAATAAAATTACGTCTAACAAGTCTACAAACTTATATATTTTCGCATTGCCATGTGTTTACTGCTTACCACATTTCAGTAGCTGCTAGCCTGTTCTCTGTTACGAGTTATCACTAGAAAAGGTGATGGCTCAGGAGGTACGTGATGTCATGGTATTCTTTCTTTTACAAGTTGTTGGCTCGCGGTAGATCAGTTAAGATGATATCGAGATACCTAATGAGCTTCCTGGCCAGCTGTATTAGCCTTACAGCTAGGGCCCAAAAATTTACCTCATCGCAGGCGAATGTTTGAAAGTAAATAATGAAAGTGTATGTTATTCTGAGTAAAGGGAACCTTATCTGCCATTCCAGAGCTGCTTTACAAAATGGCTGATCATTTAAAGAATATTAGGTCAGTAACTTGCGGATCGAAACGGAAAATCCATTGTGAAAAGTGTGAGAAAAGTTTTTATTTTTTAACTTGTATAAATCGGTTTAGACATGTAAAAATCATAAATGCTAACACGGGCCACCAAGAGAAAGCTTTTTACAGCCAAAAAGTCAGATTTTTACTGCCACTTAGCTACATATGAAATATATAGTAAGGGTAAGTATTGCAATCGTGAAAATTGTCGAATCTGAATTTTCAACGGAAATACATGTTTTGTTTTCCTTAAAATTGGCTAACCTGAAGTGCCACGCAGAAATTTTTTTTTACAATTTTATCAAAAACGGCTCTAATGCTTTGATTAAACTCGGCGAAGCATTGTATAATTAAGTGATCTTTAATATCATTTAGGTCTTATCCCCATTGATGTCACTTTACAGGGCTTACATTTTCGTGCACGTCTTCCTCTAAAGCACCTTGATATGGTTTATTAAAAAAAAAAAGAACTCTTTTTTATTGACAGTAACAATAAAAAATGGCTAAATATGAAGTTCTAAAGAATATGATAATTGGAAACTGGAGAAAAAAAAAAGAAAAATGCTTATCCAGGTTGAAAACGAATCTACGTAAATAACAGTTAGAATTTATACGTATAATATATCGTTGGAAATTTGAGAATTTTATAAAAAATAATATTAAATAAATAAAGTTGTCGAAGGTAACGCAGAGTGACGAAAAAAGTAGAAATAATAATTTCAGAAAACTAACATCATTTATCGTTAATCACATGTTTCCAATGAAATTTCGTTACTAAATGTAAACTTTTAAGTTGTTTCTAAGTTTGAAAAAAAAAAAAATTAAATCCACCGAATCATGCCAATGCCATTGTTTAAAATACTATTTCATTGTACTTGTGTGAAGGAAAAAATGAAATGTAAAAATATTTCATGGATATGTTTACGACCTCAAATATATTTACTATAGAGTATTAACTCTAGATAAGATATTATATTTAAATAATTAGGTATCTATCGCCCGTTTATTCCAAAAAATCATCATGTAACCTTTTAGAAAATCAAATTAGTGAATAATTTGATGAATTTTCCCTTTGTGAAATCTCAATATTAAAAGGAAAAAACAATAATATGAAAGGTGTAGAGCATCAAATGAGTAACAACTATTCCAATGTAGGTCACTTACTCCGAACGAAATCGGTAATCTCCTGATGGTTAGAAATTGGTAATGAAGGTAGACGTGATTTTCAATATTCCAACAGAATGGGTGTCTATTCTACTGAACTATGAGTTCAGTACAGCATACAGTAATATGCTACGTGCAGTACCTCTTTTCCACCTTTCAGCGGCGAAGGAATTTGATAAACGATGTTTCGATAGATACCGAATTTCATAAACGAATAATGAATTCCGATTCGAGATATATAATTGGCCTACAACAAAATATCAGAACTCAGTGGACGCAAAGTATGATCCTATATAACTTTGATTCTATGGGTTTTTCGTCTTAGTGGACTCATTTCCATGTTGCAAGGCCATTTACTGTAATTTGTCTCAGTTTTTGACAAATTTGGTAAAATCAGCGTTGGTTGACTGAAGTTTTATATCTTACCGCGTAACGAAATTATTAAGTTTATATACTCGTTCGACGCATAATTTAACGTTCTGTAATTATTAAAAATTTACATTTTTCCCTTCGATGTATCATTTAGGAGTTATAGGTGAAAAAACAAAAAAACTGACTATTTTGGCTGTAGAAATATTTCACTTGGTGGCCCGCGTTAGCTATATTTTTTTTTTACATGTCCAAACCCCATATACACGTTTAAAAATAAAAACTTTTCTCACATTTTTCGCAATGAATTTCCCGTTTCGATCCTCAAATTACTGACCTAATATTCATTGAACCAACCACCAAAGCAGCGGCTCTGGAATGGAATTCTTTTTACTCAGAATAACTTATACAGATAATTTACAATATAACCTTCTCCTGCAACGAGGTCGATGTGTGGGCCCTGGCCTTAGAGCTATGTGAGATTTTTGTGAATGGCGCCAAAGTCAAGATCAAATGAGCTGTTGTTAGTGAACGTTCCTTCCTAGATCCATCGTTTCTAATCGAATTAAAAAAGGGCTTGGGTCGTTGACCAATGATAAAGTAGGCCCATTCATACTCAAAATTATTGCTCGTCCATTAGCGCTGGACTTGGAGAGAGGGTATGTCGGTATACCTGCGGTCACTTTTCTTAACCCTATCTTTGTTGTTTAGTTTGAAAACAAATATTGTGGTACTAGTGATTCTTTTAGCATTTTTATTTTCACTTAAGTTTATATGAAATATATAGTAAGTGTAAGTGTTGCGATCTTGAAAATTTTCGAGTCTGAGTTTTCAACGGAAATACACGTTTTGAGGTACCCTGAGTCCAAATAACCAAGTCTCGAAAAATAGTCTGTGTGTCTGTATGTTAGCAGTCTATCTCAAAAACGAGCAGTGATACGAGACTGATATTACGTATTTAAGAAGATATTACGTATTTATATATGCCTTAGATGTAAGAGGAACTTTTTCCTTCAAATCGGCTAACCGGAAGTGCCGCCACCTCATATCAATGCTGAAACACATTTTCATAATTTTCTCAAAAACGGCTCTAACGATTTTGATTAAACTCGGTGTATCATTGTATAATGAAGTGGCCTTTAATATCAGTCAGGTCTTATCCCCATTGATATGACTTTACAGGGCTTAAATGTCCAATGCTCATATATGGCTTCTTCTAAAGTACCTTTAATATGGTTTATTTTAAATAATTTATCATTTCACATTATTAAAACTTACGAAGAAATGCTAAATATAACTTTTGAAGGAATTTGATACTTGAATAAAGGAGAAAAAAATAAAAATGGTTATCCAGGTCGAAAATGAATCTCCGGAAATACTAGTCAGAAGAAATACGTATAATATATCGTTGGAAAGCGGAAAATTTCAGGAAAAAACAATGCGAAAAATGTGAGAAAAGTTTTTATTTTTTAACGTGTATATGGGGTTCGGACATGTAAAAAAAAATATTGCTAACGCGGGCCACCAAGTGAAATATTTCTACAGCCAAAATAGTCAGATTTTTTTGTTTTTTCACCTATAACTCCTAAATGATACATCGAAGGGAAAAATGTAAATTTTTAATAATTACAGAACATTAAATTATGCTTCGAACGAGTATATAAACTTAATAATTTCTTTACGCGGTAAGATATAAAAACTCGGTCAACCAACGCTGATTTTACCAAATTTGTCAAAAACTGAGACAAATTACAGTAAATGGCCTTGCAACATGGAAATGAGTCCACTAAGACGAAAAACCCATAGAATCAAAGTTATATAGGATCATACTTTGCGTCCACTGAGTTCTGATATTTTATTGTAGGCCAATTATATATCTCGAATCGGGATTCATTATTCGTTTATGAAATTCGGTATCTATCGAAACATCGTTTATCAAATTCCTTCGCCGCTGAAAGGTGGAAAAGAGGTACTGCACGTAGCATATTACTGTATGCTGTACTGAACTCATAGTTCAGTAGAATAGACACCCATTCTGTTGGAATATTGAAAATCACGTCTACCTTCATTACCAATTTCTAACCATCAGGAGATTACCGATTTCGTTCGGAGTAAGTGACCTACATTGGAATAGTTGTTACTCATTTGATGCTCTACACCTTTCATATTATGGTTTTTTCCTTTTAATATTGAGATTTCACAAAGGGAAAATTCATCAAATTATTCACTAATTTGATTTTCTAAAAGGTTACATGATGATTTTTTGGAATAAACGGGCGATAGATACCTAATTATTTAAATATAATATCTTATCTAGAGTTAATACTCTATAGTAAATATATTTGAGGTCGTAAACATATCCATGAAATATTTTTACATTTCATTTTTTCCTTCACACAGGTACAATGAAATAGTATTTTAAACAATGGCATTGGCATGATTCGGTGGATTTAATTTTTTTTTTTTCAAACTTGGAAACAACTTTAAAAGTTTACATTTAGTGAGGAAATTTCAATGGAAACATGTGATTAACGATAAATAATGTTAGTTTTCTGAAATTATTATTTCTACTTTTTTCGTCACTCTGCGTTACCTTCTACAACAAAGAGGCTGGGATCTCCTAGAGCCCTGCCTTTCCCTCCAAGAGTGTGGGGAAAGGCTTGGCTCGGAGATCATGAGTGAAGGAATATTTTAAATATTGTATAAAAGCATGTGTGTATTTAAGTATTTATTTTGTTAGATTAGTTTAGTTTGGTTTGGTTTAGTATCTTTTAGACAATATGACATCCTCCTCCCAGATCACATCATCGTATACTTCTGTTAGTGTTTCTTGTCTGTCCTCCACTCTCTCTTCCGAGCCACCAGTGAAGAATGCATAATAATGGCGCCGCCATCTCTCCAATATTTCCTCATCTTCAGTAATTATTTGCACTAATTCATGCTTAACATTTCTAATGGGTTTGCTTGCCTTTCCTTTCATGGATTTAATTCTTTTCCTGAAAATCTTGGTGTTTTCCTTATAATCATTCTGTAGACTTTTACCGAATTTCTCCTAACTTCTCCTCGCCACACTGATAAGCATTTTTGCTTCTTTTCGGCTCCGTGACTGGGAGGTTCGGTTCACCCATGTCAGGTGAATTCATACAAAAGCACCAAAACCAAACTTAGCATAGTTTAACCGCTCAAAAGTCCTCTTTAAATGGCTGTAATGACAAACTTTATTTGCTTTTAAAGTATATTTTGTCTTGTTTACCTTGAAAGTAATTGTTAATTATTTAAATTATATATTTCTTCAGTTATCACTTTCTAGTATTTCCTACTTCCCGGCTGAAAATGAATGTTTTTGTAGCTCTTGAGGTGTGTTATCACTCCTAGAAAAATTTTCCTCCACTTCCGGGGCATCCTGGATATCGATATAGAATTCCGATTGAAGTAGAACAATGGATTGAACTGACTATTGACGATTGAATATGTCTGCTATAAGATATTGTTCCTAGAAACTGCAGCGAACATGGTAATCCATCTCATGAATCACAATCCGAGTTACAGCCGCCTGTGCCCTACTGCCCAATGTGAAATTCTAATATCATGTAATTTGAAACACTTGCGAATTTCATTTACCGTTCAGTGTCCTTTCGAAGAATTTATCTTATATTGCAGCATTACATTGGGCAAGCTTCATTGCCTCGAAATTCTTGTTTTTCATTCTTAGTTTACAAAGCATGGTAGTCATCTATTGCTGAAATAATATATTACTAAATTAAAATTTAACTATTTTTCTAATCTCCATCTATTGTATTAGATGTACTGAAGGTTCTCGTCTATCTTATTAGATGTACTGAAGGTTCTCATCTATCGTATTAGATGTACTGAAGGTTCTCATCTATCGTATTAGATGTACTGAAGGCTCTCATCTATCGTATTAGATGTACTGAAGGTTCTCATCTATCGTATTAGATGTACTGAAGGTTCTCATGCTGGGCGGTTGGCTCCTCGGTTTAGTAGATCACCACGTTCTGGTTAGAAATAACGATCGTGAAAGATTCGGACCAGATCAATTTATACGGAAACTACTAGCACAATAGAAATGGCAGTGGACATTGGGCGCAGTCTCCGTTTGTAAACGATCACTAAGCTTTACAAGATAGCAATTGAAATTATTAAAACTGTTCAAAACCATAACCGCGTTTGCTACAATCTGACGCCACGAAGCTTTATTACGGAGGATGGTGAATGATTTTACATTTCCAACCTTACTAAATGGCTACTATTTAAAACTAATTAAAATTTTTGTGGGTTGAACATGCATTCACATGTTTGAACTGGTCATGGCAACGATTGCAGACAAATCCAAGTGTGTTTGTTTGAACAATTCATTTATTGTTTTCGTTTTAAAAATTTCCTAGAAAGTCGAATCTTCAATGAAGATGTGTAAAATATCTTTGCACACACTGTACCAAATACATCTTTAATTATTTTTATGATCAGATCATAAATAAAGTTTTCATAAACCGATATGTGTAATAAAACATTTTTTTTTATTTCCAACTTTTTTTTAGGATTTGGAATCCATAAAAATCATACAAAAGAAATTCACTGTATATGATTGGAGGGACCAAATGTACGATTGCAAAATTACAAGTGTTTCGTGGAGCTACTTCAGGTAGCAGCACTGCCTAAGCCCAACGATACTAACGAGAGCCTCATCCAAAATGTAATTTTAGGAATGTCACAGGTAGGCCCCTCCTATTTCAAGTTCGTAAGCAGTCCAAGTTTAGACAGTTCCTCTGTTTGGACGTGGTGTGGTATACTTATGTAAAATTTCAAGTTGAACGATCTTATGTTTCCGAAGATCTGATATCCTCATCCTAAAACCCAAACTTGCTCCGTTGACATAATGTAGTCGACTTTTTTCTATTTTTGTCATGTTCCACGGCGATTAGCCCGCGAGATACCTGAAGCCTGTTGGCAGATAGTCTATTACCTTTTCATTAACTCGAGCAGACCGCCTGCACACATTCACTTTTTTCCTCCTCACAAAGTTAACAAGTCCGTCGACTCCGGAAGATTCCTCCACCAATTCTTCGAGAACGGATTGAGCGGACAGCCGCTGCCTACTACGTGTTGGGACTGGACGAAGAGGCCTCCCTGACAGTTTACAAATACGGTGGACTTGGAAGTGTTGCTGTGCATCCATCGCCTGCTATAAATAACAACGCTCAATATGTTAGCCGGTATCCTCTCCGGATGTTAACTGGGCAGTCTTTGGTCTTCCCCAGAACACGTCTTCTTTATCAACCTGCTAATTAAGGATTCTTAGTTCGTAGGAGATACTTAAACCTTATGACGACTTCCTCCATTTTAAATTACTTAAATAATGACAACGCTTTGTCGAAGCATAATGATGTATCAAAATATGAAGAAAGGGCCTTTTAGGCGTCATAAAAACAAAAATTAAGTTAAACTCGAAAATGTGAACTTAATGTCACTGCCAACAACCAATAATGCAGCTTAAATGTAACAATCGTTAATATATGTCCAAAGAAGGTCCAAAATGGCAGGAGAGAATGTAGAGAATACCAGGAGAGAATACCTGATAGCTAAACTAAAATGAGTTAAGTGATTTTAGAATATACTGAATTCTTAGCAACTCTTCTGATTAAAACCTGTTTATTAGGCCTTGAGTTTTCTTGTTACATAATATTATTATATATTCTATAATATTTACTTCTAATGTTCTATGCTATTATCAATATTTGGCAACTTTATGAAATTACTAAGAAGCAATTGATTTAAATGTAACAGTTAAATCTCTAAATTTATTTGGGTAATTAATAAAACTCACTAGGCTATATGCTGTTTTTATTAAAACAATATATTTTGCACCAGTGAAAATCATAGTTTAGCTTTCACAGCAAAACTATTTTGTTATTTTTTGTTTCAACTGTGCTGCAAGATTCGGTGGTTTTGGATTCCGCAAAGAGGAGAATTCTGTTCAACGATTTCTATATGCTCAAAGACAACGAGGAAAACTCTTTTTTGATGGGTCAGATGTTCTTCATTCCTATAAAAGGAAGAAGTCATAATCAATAAAATAATGCAATGGCATTTAAGGCAAGCATCGATTTGTTGATTGCAAGATAAAAGAGTAATATCATACATACATATGTAGGAATACTGCCTTTGTGCATGTTTTTGATATAAGCAAACACTGAACTGAAAAGAAAAAAAACTTTTCCAAAGAAAATAAATAATTGAGCTGGCTTAGTTTCACCACAAATATCATTTATCATAGAAATAATATTGAGCATAGAAGGCTGAAAAAACAATAACAATTATGAATGAAGACAGTTAATTATCACAGCTCCCGACTAGTGGCAAATCTATCGGTTCAATTAGCGACACCAACCTTATTCTATTTGATCAATTAGCGACACTAACCTTAATCTAATTATTCGAGCAACAACAACTTTAATCAAACCAATGTAGATTAATAAAAGTAATTCAAGAATTTACCTTCGAACAAACAATATTACATATAATGTCAACTTCAATAGTCATTTCTTCCAGCGGGATTATTCTGAAAGGTACAAGAGAGGAGGTGGAGAGTATGATATTTCAAGAAACATACATAACATAGACTCGCTTTAAAAATTAAAGGTCTCAAATAATTCGTTTCTAATTCCTTCAAAAGATATTCCTGTAGAATCTGAAAAAAAAGAATTAGTTCGTTACCTCATTACTGGGAGGCTGAAGCAGATGGAGAACTCTATGTCATGTCAGGTTGTAGGATGTAACTTTATGCCATGTCAGGTTGTAGGATGTAACTGTATGCCATGTCAGGTAGTATGATGTAACTTTATGCCATGTCAGGTAGTAGGATGTAACTTTATGCCATGTCAGGTTGTAGGATGTAACTTTATGCCATGTCAGGTTGTAGGATGCAACTTTATGCCATGTCAGGTTGTAGGATGTAACTTTATGCCATGTCAGGTTGTAGGATGTAACTTTATGCCATGTCAGGTAGTAGGATGTAACTTTCGAGTGTCATCGAATGGAATCAGAATGGTCGGAAGTAGGCTTTCGTGCTCGCTTCTGGCAAAGGCAGTTTGTAGTTTCAAAATATGAAAATACTAAAAGATATGTGGAATTAACGGTTAACATTACCAGAAACAAAAATAGGAATTATAAACTGGAAAATTGATGGGACAGCTACCGTAACAACTGGCGAGAACATGGATCGTTCGGCAGACAATTTATTCCTCGACTGCTGGAGGCTCGTACGTCATTGGGACTGCGGGAACAGCAGCTTGCTGACAGATGACCAGTGAGTGACATGCCACTCCATCCTCATTAGCATGCCAGCAGATAGCCCGGGCCCGGCACAACATTAGCGGTGACAAGGCACTATATCCTAGTTGGGGACGTCCGTCTCGAGGATATATTGTTATCAACTATTCGTTTGTCTCTTATCAATATATTCCCAACGCATTAGCCATTCGGAGGTTCATTTCGAGTTCTCAAGACGGGTAACTTGCTGTGACCATCTCACTAGACTAATGTTTGTTTTACTAATGAAGTGACTTACGATTCCCTACCGTTTCTAATTATTTTAATCTTAATATATTTATCAATCTCTATCTATGTATGTATATATATACACAAGAGATGCATTTCACTCATTGATTTATTGATCTCAAAAATGACTATGAAGTTGAAATAATAATTAGTAGTTATCCTTAGGCTATAGATGTGCTATATCTTACAGTCCGAAAAACAATCGTTCTTTAAGTGGTTAGACCTATTTCGAAATGGTTTTCCGAATCACTCAAAAATTATTTTCTCCTGGACAACTAGACAACTATAAGTACTTTTTGGAACAGTAAATGAAATCCCTACAAATTTAAAGAAAACCCTTACACCTAGGACTATAAAGCTCGAAAAGGTGTCTTTTTATATGTATCTTCTTATTATTAATCGAATGAAACAAAAAGTAAATCGATAGCTTTACACGTTTTCGTTATTATGACTTTAATATGTTTTAAATTTTTAAAAAATCTGAATAATAATACATTTAATAATTCAAGTTAACAGTATTGGGCGAAAATATTCAAGATTTAAACAAAATTTGGCTTAATAAATGTTTGAATATCTAAATATATGATATTTACAAGATATGAAATTAAAGGTTTAAGAATAAATATATTGTTTTTAAAAATCGACATTATCGGTGGAAGAAATACCCTTATTTTAAAATTGCTAATATTGTTCTGTTTTATGATGTTTTTACCAGGTTATTTCCTGAAAACTATTATTTTGAAAAATTTACATTGGTATGAATTATGTTTTTATTTTTATTATTGTTTTATTAACTTTATTTTATTATTTATTTATTCTTCTAAATTCATTACATTTCCAAGTAAGTTGGATTGAGGACAAAGGCGACTGGGGAGAGGATAGTGGAAGGTTTTACGTTCCCCATTAATTTTAAAAGCCAAACAGTTATAAGATTTGACAACCTATTTCAAAATGTAAAAATTAACATAAAGAATTAACTTAAAGGGTTAATAAAATTTAGAGCAAATACTTAATAAATTATCTGTTTCGCTAAGAAAATAAAATCTTACTAAAAATATTTTTTTAAATTAAATACACATTAGACCAATGAGACAAAATTATTTAGAAATTTTAATATTTGTTTAAATTATCAAACAAACAGCTTTTTCATGGATTAAATCATGAAAGATTTCCATTTATTACAGAATGAAAGACCTTTTTTTGTTTGACATTAGAAAACATTTGTAGTTCATCAAAACCTAACATAGCCTTTCGTGAATATTTCGAACGAACTCAAAATGTTCCACTTAATAATGACCGCTATTAACTAGATAGATAGTAGAGTATAACTAGACAGTAGATGTTCTCTTCTACAAATAAATCTGATTAAAGTACTGACTACCAAGAAAAAACACGTCTGCCAATTAAGGTCAGTATAGCTTCCTCACAGTTTTCATTGGCTAAAATATTAAAATATTACTAGGTATACACTTTTTCGTATTAGAATAAAATCTGGTTGAAGCTGATTCGGAAATACAGTTACCCTTCAATATCCATATGAACATTCAAATTCAACATTGATATTCACGAATTTCGTTTATCAGATAATATTAAAATGCAAAAGAGTGCCGTTATTTGAAGATTCCATATTTGATTATCCTTAATTTAAAAAAAAATAAATGCATACTGAACATGCATTTTACTACTGTTAGTGCATAAGGTCTTATGTAAAAATTGATTGTTTTGCAAGAGTGCATAAAAATTCATTATTTCTTTATGCTTTATTAGTATAATTCCATATTTTGTTGCCAACTGCTATTTTCCATAGTAGTAGACTACTTATATAAGTTGCAGACTACAAAATATCACCTTTAGCACAAATAGAGTAAAGTTGAAAATTTTTAAATTCAAACTTTTTTACTAATAGTAGTGATATATACTAATAGGTATGTTTTCACTCGTAAAATGGATTGAACTAGAAACACCACAGGAAAAATTCAACTTGTTTGTTCGGAGTTAACTTGACCAATACGATCGATAACATCACTCTTACTGAGATCTAAAAATATATATTCCCAATATCTGTAAATACCGTTCATTTTTTGTAAAATCACTGAAAAATGCTCTTTACTTTGTATTTTTATGGGTTAATTGGAGGAAATAGTTACTGGTCTAGACCAACTAGAGATGTCAATGAAAGATATTATTGCACAAAATGTGTGATTGGAATACTTGCATTTTTGGATTTTTTTTTCCGCCTCTGAACCACTTTGCGACGCAGTCTTGGGCTGTACTGGGCAACAACATGCAGTGCCTGACATTAGCAAACACTGTCAAGCAATACCAGACAACATCAAGCAGTACCAGATAGTGCAATACCAGACATCAAGCAGTACCAGGTAGTGCAATACCAGACAACATCAAGCAGTACCAGATAGTGCAATACCAGACATCAAGCAGTACCAGGTAGTGCAATACCAGACAACATCAACCAGTACCAGGTAGTGCAATACCAGACAACATCAAGCAGTACCAGATAGTGCAATACCAGACAACATCAAGCAGTACCAGATAGTGCAATACCAGACAACATCAAGCAGTACCAGATAGTGCAATACCAGACAACATCAAGCAGTACCA